ACACTAGGCAACACGGGGTAATAAGAGGGAAGCACAATAGAGTCATCAGCATACATCACATGCAAGGCTGCTACAATGGCATCCATGTCCAAGTCAAAAATCCTAATGCTACGCCTAAGCAAGCTGTGCCAGTCCGGGAGGTCGGGCGCCGGGCCAAAGCGCTGGCGGAACAGGTCGTCCAGACGACGAAAACAGCGAGGAGTAGAATGACCGATCTTACCGCAAACGAAACCGCGGCGAGGACCGGTCTGGATCTGGTACTGACAGGGCCCGCCTCCAGAACCACCACCCGGTGCACCACCACGCGCACGACCACCACCAGCTCCAGGCCACCCAGGCGGGAGAGCACTCGCCGGCCTCGTCTGCGGCGGCTGCTGCGGCTGCTGCGGCTGCGGCGACTGCTGCTGCTGCTGCTGCTGCAACGGTGGAGGCAGCGGGGCAGCTGGACCGGGCAGGGTCCCCACGTCCGCACCGGCACCGGACGACCCGCCTCCACCACTACCCCCACCCGCACCCCCGCCGCCTCCGCCGCTCCCAACCTTGGGGCGGCGGCCCTTCGCCGAGCGGGACTGCACTGCAGCAGCAGTCTCAGCCACAGCGACAGAGCCGTCGGAGAAGGTACACTGAGCGGGGGCACAACCCTGAAAGATAGGGACCGGTACTGTACCGCTCGCCTGGGCTATGGAGCGGTGACGAGTCTCTATGGCGGTCAGGGTGTCAACAAAGTCGGTGAGGGTGAGAGCAGCAGGATGGATGCTAAGGAACTGGTCGCGGGCGGCGGCAAGGCGGTCAGGGAGGCGGGTGGCAAGGAGGTAGAGGGTGGAGGTCATGGGAGGCTGGTGGACTCTAAGCTGTGCATCAGTGCAGGCAGCGCGCCAGGCCTCATCTATCGAGCGCAGGTGGGCAGCGAGGTCAGAGACAGTGGGGAAAGACGCCAGGTCAGGAAAGAGCAGGGGGAGGATCAGGCGACCCACTGAGGCAGCAGGAGGGGTAGAATAGCGCTTGATGACAGCATCAAGGTAGGCCTGGGCGGTAGTAATGGTTCTAAAGCGAGGGCGCTCAGGGGGGGGGAGGGCATTGCTAATGGCGAGCTGAGCAAGGGCATCGCGGGAAAGCCAGACAGAGCGGGCAAGGGCAGCAGCGGCAGTGGACTCGCGCTCAGCGGGCGTGGGATCAGCGGGCAGCACAGCAGGGGGGTCAGGGCAGGGGAGCATACCGTCTAGGTGTGCAGAAAGCGGGTGGCCGTCCTGCCGCTGGCCAGTGAGGTGGCGGCGAAGGTCAGCCAACCACGCCTCGAACTCCAGAGGCTGACCCTCAACATCAAAACGAAGCTCAGCAGCCATGAGGGGCAGTGGAGGACAGTGCAGTGCGGTGCAGTGCGATGCAGTGCGGTGCAGTGCGGTCCAGTGCGGTGCAGTGCGATGCAGTGCGGTGCAGTGCGGTCCAGTGCGGTGCAGTGCGGTCAGTGCGATCCAGTGAGGTGCAATGCGATGCAAGGCGGGGCAGGAAAGTGCAGGAGGGTGCAAAGTGGTGCGGGGAACGGGGGACAGTACCAGGAAGTATGGAGGGCCGGGGCAGGCGCGGGGCCGGGCAGGCGCGACGGCCGGGCAGGCGCGACGGGCCGGGCAGGCGCGACGGGGCCGACGGGCGGCGGCGACGGGGCCGGGCGGCAGCGACAGGCCGGGCGGCTGCGACGGGCCGGGCGGCTGCGACGGGGCCGGGCGGCTGCGACGGGGCCGGGCGGCAGACGGGGCCGGGCGGCACAGCGAGGCCGGGCGGGCGACGGGCCGGGCGGCTACGGGCCGGGCGGCAGCGACAGGCCGGGCGCAGCGACGGGGCCGGGCAGGACACAGCAGGGCCGGGCGGGGCGACGGGGCCGGGCGGGCGCGGGGCCGGGCAGGTGCGACAGGGGCCGGGCAGCTGCGACAGGGGCAGGGCGGGCGCCACGGGGCCGAGAGGGCCGCGACGGGCCGAGCAGGGGCGACGGGGCCGAGCAGGGGCGACGGGGCCGAGCAGGGGCGACGGGGCCCAGGAGGGTGACGGGGCCCAGGAGGAGCCGCCCAGGAGGGGCGCTACGGGCCCAGGAGGGGCGCTACGAGCCCAGGAGGGGCGCTACGGGCCCTGGTAGGGGCGCGAGGGGGGCCTGGGAGGGGCGCGACGGGGCTTGGGAGGGGCGCGACGGGGCTGGGGAGGGGCGCGACGGGGCCTGGAGGGGCGCTACCAAGCCCAGTTAGGGGCGCGACGGGGCCTGGGGGGAGCGCAATGGGGCCCAGGAGGGACGCTACCGGGGCCTGGGAGGAGCGCGACTGGGCTAGGGAGGGGCGCGACGGGGCCTGGGAGGAGCGCAATGGGGCCCAGGAGGGGCGCTACGGGGCCTGGGAGGAGCGCGACGGGGCCCTGGAGGGGCGCTACCAGGCCCTGGAAGGGGCGCGACGGGGCCTGGAGGGGCGCTACGAAGCCCTGGAAGGGGCGCGACGGGGCCTGGAGGGGCGCTACGAAGCCCTGGAAGGGGCGCGACGGGGCCTGGGAGGAGCGCAATGGGGCCCAGGAGGGGCGCTACGAGGCCTGGGAGGAGCGCGACGGGGCCCTGGAGGGGCGCTACGGGGCCCAGAAAGGGGCGCAACGGGGCCCAGGAAGGGGCGCGACGGGGCTAGGGAGGGTCGCGACGGGGCGAGGGAGGGTCGCGACGGGGCTAGGAGCACGACGGGGCCCAGCTAGGGGGCGAGCGGAAGCGTGAGGGGGGGGGGGGATCCTACCTACGCGTGATACCATATCAAACAGTGAAATTGATGAGTTTAGAGAAAGAGAGTACACAAACATATACCTAACAGTTGTACTCTCTAGAAGATGACCCTATACAGTCTATACAAGCATGATAACTAAACATGTTTGACAAACTAGTGAAATGGCTGTGTAGCTGAGAACCTGCTGTGAAGTTTCTGTGTAGCATGTTAGTATGGCGCATGACTACGTCGGCATTGCCCTATTTTAGCTTTTGGTAAATTCGTAGATATTGTAGTTAAACTAGAGTAGCTGAATTTAAATTATGTGAAATATTTTTTGAGGATAGAAAATTAGTGTAAAATTAACTGTCAACCCTGATGAGAAAGCGAACATTCGAAATCGAACGCTGATGAAAAAGCTTTTTTTTTTTCTAGTCCACACTGATGGAAAGTTTTTTTCTCAAGACACTGAGCAATCAGAGTACCTTAAAACCAAACGTGGGGCCTGACTAGAATGAATGAAAACAAGAGAGAACAAGCAAGGTATATGGTTGGAGTTGTACTCTCTAAGAACAAACTGTTAAAATTATATAAGTTATAATTTATATAGGCTTGGTAGGTTGTTACTGAACCTTTCTGTAGGGGGTACAAACCCCTCCTTGTACTCCCCTCTCTTCTAATCCAACACCTTTTCCTCTCCTCAACTTTCCTAGCACCTAAAACCTCTCGCCATTCTCATGGCTCCTCCTAGCTCCTAGCTAAACCTTGTGCCATTCTATGGCTTCCTAGCTAAGCTAGTTTCTGACATGGTATTAGAGCAGTTCGTTCCGTGTGGGCCTGCTCCTCGCGTTTCCGCTGCGTGCTCGTTTCTCTCTCTATCTCGCGCTGCCATGGCGGCCGCGTCAAGCTGCTGTGGCCGCGTCGTCGTGCCGCGGCGCCGCTGTCGACGTCCATGGCGCCCGCGTCCAGCTGCTGTGGCCGCGCCGTCGTGCCGCAGCTCCGCCGTCGCGTCAAGTTGCTGTCGCGACGTGACGGCGCCGTCACGCTGCCGCGGCGTCTACGCGACAGCGCGCAGTCGGCGTACCAGCGACGTCGTGCTGCCGTCGCAGCGTCGACGCCCCGCTGCGGCATCGACGCCGCTCCATGACGGCGTCGTCGGGCTGCAGCCGGCCGCGTGACGCTTGTGGCGCCGCTAGACCGGCCGCCCGCATGTCAGCCTGTGGCGCCGCCCCCCCCCCCACCCCCCCTCCTTCCCCTGCGCCCTCTTCCATTCCGCAGACGACGGCTGACTCCCGCCGGCCGTCCCACAGTCGCGGGGCCAGGCCACGTCACCGAGAGGTGCGGGTGCCGCCGCCGCTGCCGCTGTTGTCGAAGCCGCCGCCGCCGCCGCTGTCGCCGCTTGCGTCGGGGCCACGCAGCCGCACGCCGCCGCCGCCGCCGCTGTCGACACTGCCGCCGCTGCCGCCGTCGCCGCCGCAGCCCCTGCGGTCGACGTCGCCGCCTCACGCGCCGTGGGGTCGACCGACCTAGAGTCGCTGTCACTGTGGCTGGAATGGGGGTGCTAGGTTAGGGGGTGTGGGTGTGTGTGGGTGTGTGACTACCAAGCCTAGGGGGTGTGTTAAAATTATATAAGTTATAATTTATATAGGCTTGGTAGGTTGTTACTGAACCTTTCTGTAGGGGGTACAAACCCCTCCTTGTACTCCCCTCTCTTCTAATCCAACACCTTTTCCTCTCCTCAACTTTCCTAGCACCTAAAACCTCTCGCCATTCTCATGGCTCCTCCTAGCTCCTAGCTAAACCTTGTGCCATTCTATGGCTTCCTAGCTAAGCTAGTTTCTGACACAAACACCTATCTAGCCTATAACTTCTACATAATTATATATGTATAAGTTGACAGGTACAACCCCAGGTACTATCTCTCTTGTTCTCTTTTGTTTTCATTCATTCTAGTATTCTAATAGAGGGTTCATATCTTTACATGAAAGACTACCCCAAATCCTATCCAGGGGCCTGATGATTGCCATGCATTGCTTCAGCTCAGTGTCATTTGATTTGTATAACCGTATTACCATTTGTCTTTTCTGGTTACGGTATTAGTCTTGTGGTACTGGTGTTCAGTTAGGAACCAGGAAGCAATATGCTTGAGTACCTCACTGGCTACATGATGAGCTGGGTACAGACAGCTTTGAGAAAAATGGTTGGGAGCAGCAGATCCAGGCTGAAGTGTACCGTTCAGGGATGTCCTTATAATACTATTTTCACAGCCAGTTATTAACCAACAGTCATCAATATATACATTACATATCTTCCTATAGAGATTCAGTTCAAAAACGAATGAACACAATTCAATTGATCCTCAAGTCATCTGGAATATTAATTCAGCCTCTACTACCTTCTCCCGAATATGGTTCACAACAAGCACTCAGCAGCAGCAGGCAGGCATGCAAGGTGCAAGGTGCAACCAAGCAAGCACTTCACAAGAGGCCCAGTTTAGACAGGCAAGGCAGCAGCAGGTAACACACAGGTCCTGCTGCCAATACACATGAGGTCCAACTCATCTGAGACACAAGGCGTGAGAAACTGCTGCCACATTCCTTCCCTCCCCAGCACTTGGCAGGAGTGAGGGGCATCACAGCACACCCATGCCATGCAAGGACCTGTGGGCTGAGGCAACGGCAGCACGAGCAGACGTATCCCCGCCACGAGCAGGGCCATGTGCCTGCCCAGGAGCATGAGCAGCATGAGCAGCGTCATCACCATGCGCAGCAGAGGCCGTGCATGTGCGTGCGTGTGTCTCCCGCCAGTGGTGCACCTGGCACGACCGGCTGCAGTAGCGCACGCGCCAGCACGTGGAGCACCGCCAGAACTCAAACGGGCGCGTCTCCGGCCGCCCACACGACGCGCGGCTGCACACCCCCGCGCTCGCATCCCCTCCCTCCGCTGATTCCGGCTCCTCTTCTGCTGCTGTCGCTGCTGCTGTTGCGCCTGTTGCTGGGGCAACAGCGTGGGGCTTCTCTTCCGCGGTATGGGGGGCGGCCCCCTTGAGCGCGCGCCACTCGCGCACGAACGCGTGCGCGGGGTGGATGGGCGCGGGGCGCAGGGACGTCTGGAGCGCGGCAAGCGCGGGCTCGAGCGCAGCCACGTGCGCGGCGGTGAGGCGGAACGACCCAGATGCCAGCCCCGCTAGGAGCTTCTGTACAACCGCCTGCTTGCTGCTCGTGTTGATGCTGGTGGTGGCAGTGGTAGCGGTGGTAGCGCTGGTGATGGTGGTGGTGGTGGTGGTGGTAGCGGCGGCGGCGGAATCAGCAGCGAGGGGGTGCTGCTGGTGTGTTGGCCAGTGGGGCTTGGCCATGGGGGATCGCGGGGAGTGCATGGCGACGAGCACGCTCGACGGTGAGCGCGGCGACAGCCCCGCGGCGGACAGAAACGCGCCGTCGCTCGACTCTGCCGCCTCGTCGCCCGCCATGTCGTCATCGCCGCACGCCACGGCGCCTGACGCGGAGCAGGACGAGGAGGAGCACGCGGAAGAGTCGCCGCGGATGGGGCTGGTGGGGGCGGCGCGCCAGTCGCGCGCGAGCAGCAGGTGAACGGCGGTTTCCTGCTCCGCGGGCGTCAGCGGCATGGTGTTGCCGTACGGGCTCGAGTTGCACGCGCGGTACGCGGCAGCGGAGGCGAACGAACTATCAGACGCCGATGTCGAACCGAAGTCGGAAGCGGGAGAGGCGGCGGGCATTGCGGAGAGCAGCGAGAGGAGGTACGCCTGCGGCGCGAGCTCCGCCGCTTGCGCCTCTAGTAGCATCCGCCAGCCCTCCTGCGCATCGCGCTGCACGCCGTACCCGTCGATTAAACAGTGCCCCAGTTCCCGCATCGCCTCAGTGTGCCCCAGCGCCGCCGCCCGCGCGCACAGCGCGACCCCCATCCGCGCGTCCTTGTGCTGCGCGCCGAGCCCACTGCCGTTGAAGCTGAGTATGCCGGCCGTGTAGAGGGACGCCGCGTGGCCCTCCCTCGCGGAGTACATTAGGAGGCGCCCGCCCTCGAATTGCGCGCCGGGTATGCAATAGAATAGGATCTGCGGGGTCAGCGAGGGGAGGAACGAGGGGAGGGACGGGGAGGGGAGGGAGGCGAGAGAGGAGAGGATGAGTGGACGGAAAACAAGGGAGTGGGAAGCTGGCGGAACTAGACGGGTCACGGGCGTGGGGATAGCGGAGGGGGGGCGGTGGGGAAGGGTAGAGGGAACGGGGAGTGGGCGAGGGGTGAAAGAAAAACTGGCAACTGCGAGAGCAAAGGGAGACGGGGGAAGGGGGGGGCGGGAGGGGGGGGGGGGGGGGGGAGGGGAAGAGGAGAGCGAAGAGGAGGGGAGGGAACGACGAGAGGGTTGGGGCAAAGGCGGCGGGAGGGTGACGAGCGAGGACGCACCATGGCGAGCATAAAGGCGGCTTCGAGGCAGCCGTTCTCGCACAGGCGTCGCAGGAACATGTACGCGCCCTCGCACCACTGCCGCGCGCGCACCGCCACGCCCCCTCGGCACGCCCGCCTTAACGCCTCGCGGTCCCTGCTGGCCCGCCGCCACCGTCGGTTGCTGCACGGGGAAAGGTAGACGACGGCGGGGATAGGGGGGGAGGGATGGAGGGGAGGGGTAGACGGGGAACGGGAAAGTGGATAGAAGAGGAGTGAGACACGAGGTTAGAGAATTATGGGAAGGATGAGGGATGAAATCGACGGCGGAAACGACGACGGAAGGAAAGGGAAGGGAGAGGGGGCGAAGAACGCGCGGGAGAGATGGGAAGCGGAGACGCACGCATGCGGGGAAGCGGCGAGAAGAGGGGAAGTCCGGCGGTGACAGTCGGGCGGTGAGAGTGGGGCGCTTACATCATGGATGGGAGGACGACGTCGAGCGGGGAAGAAGCGGTGGAGTTGACGGCGGCGAGCACCTTGATTAGTACCTCGTCCTGCCATGCCACGGCCATGGGGTGGGACGGCGAGTAGGGGACGGGAGAAGAGGGAGGGACGGGAGGGGTGGGAGAGACGAGGGGAGTGGGGAACACGATGAGGATGAGCGGGAGGCGAGTTAGTCAGGTGTCCGAGAGGCAGGCCCAGGAAACGCACGAGTGCAGGATGGACGGAAGGCAGGATGGAAGGATGAGGCGGAACACGTCAGGCGGGGGCAAGGGCGGGTAAGTACCGGTAGGCTTTCGATGGTGGTTCGTTTTCGGCTGGGCCCCTCGCTATCGTGAGCTTCAGGCCTCTCCTTGCAGTAGCTAGACGCTGTGCTGCACCTGCTGCCCCCGCTGCTGCTGCTGCTGCAGTCAGTTCTGCTATTAAATCTGTCACCGCTGCCGCCGCCGCCGCCGCCGCCGCCGCCGCCGCCGCTGCCGCTGCTACTGCTGCTGCTGTCGCTGGTGCTGGCGCTGGTGCATCTTCGACTGTCGATGGAAACCGCCTCGGGAACATCGGGCGGGCTAGGGGGATTTCCAAGGGAACTATCGACCTCTTTCTCATCCGTGGAATACAAGGCGAAACTGGAGGTTGTCGCCCCCATCGTGGCGAGATAACCCGAAACTCGCTCAGAAGCGCGGCCTAGTTCTCGTCGCTAAGGTAGTCTTGGTAGGCTACGGTACAAACCAACAAATACAAACTCTCAGCTGCTGAACCACCAGTGAGTAAACCAGCCTTCGTTGAGAGATGAGTACTCCACTCTTACTGCGGGGATTGGTGCCACGAGGGTTTTGTTCCTGTGGGTCCAGCAGACGCCAAAGCAAGTTTCCGTTGAAACCCACGGAGGGAGTGCGGACGAACGGAGGGCGAGCAGACGTGGCTTGTGTGGATGCGTTGCGTGTTGGGGTTGTTGAGCTTAGGACGTATTTCACAGCATCGATTTGTAGGGACAAGTTCGTAACTTCGCCACGTTAAATGACAGCCTCGACTGATTTCCCTGACTCTTGGAGACTCTGATGCTTCCCGAACTGTGCTCAAGTCGTTTTTCGGGTTGTGACGTGGGCCATTGACGAAGAGGGATTTGTGCCGTGTCGGGAATCGAGGTTGGGTCAGCCAAGCCTGAGTCGTGGTGATAAAGCAGGGCAGCAGGAAAGTCAGGGCGAAGGAGTAATCAGGCGCAAATTTGACGCGAGTGAACACCCACCTGCGGTCCGCAAACGACTTTAAGGGGCGGGGAAGAGGGAAACAGAGGACCTTCGTTCCCCTTGCCTTTCCGTCTCCAACCTTCCGTTGGTGATTGCCGTTCGGTAATTCCCCCTCAACTACAGTGCAACTGTGCAACACGTTTACTGTACAAAAACAACAAAAATTGCGCCGACCTGAGGCGAGGGCTGCCTGCCCGGGATGCAGTGGCTGGAAGAATTTGTGGTCAGCATTGCGGGCATCCCTGGCCGTCACTTGCCCGAGTGGGCGGCAGATGCTCCAAAAACTGCTGCGGCGTGCGAGTCTCCAACTTCCTAGCCCTATCTGGTGATGTGAAATGGTGAGGGTCAGATCAAACCATTTGAGTATGTGTTCTGCCAGCCGAGTCGCAGATCACAACAACCGAGAGTTCTACCCACCACAACAGAAGCTGACATGCGACCGTGGTGTCACTGTGGCATCTGCCTGCTGTAACTGCACACCTGCGACTCGACCATTTCACACGTGGAGCGAAGTGGATCCACGCTCCGCCAGCACCACTGCGTGTTTGGGAACCGCACCCCCTGCTCGAGTCCACTTCGGCCATCTGTTTGGGGAGGAATGGCACTTTCTCACTGATTTCAAGGCGATACAACTGGTTTCCCGAAGTTCGATTAAGGGGGGCGACATTAGGCTCGAGTGGAGCTGAATCCCGAGCCTGTGGCTCAATTTTGAACTGAATGCCGAAATTGCTCACAAATTTGGAACGTGACATTGAGCTGCGCTCAAGTGTAAACTTTCCCGATTAAACTTCGCAACGCAAATGGCGAAAGAGAACAGTGAGTGACGAAGCACACACGCGAAAGAGCCGGCGCGCGAAAAAACACACCCCCTGTGTCGCCAGACGCTGTGTCACCCCTGGCACTGCCGAACCTTGGTTTCCCCGTTTTGTCCTTGAGCTACTGTGCATGTTTCGTTTCGTGCTGATTGATTGGTCGCGAACTTACCGTTTTCGCAGCACCACAATGTAATATGTCCAATGCCCAGGCTCGAGCTGGCGGCTTGTCCCGTCGATTTCGCACATTGAGCTCGCGGACTGAGCGAGGGTCACATTGAGCCGAATGTCGCCCCCCCTTACAGTGCTTGGAGCATACACTTCCAAATTAGTTGGAGGCGTTTCGATCATAATATGCCTAAACAAAATTTTCAAGGAAGCGAGGATCGTTTACCTCCTTGTATATGCTATATTTCTTGTATATTACATTATGAACGCAATAACCTAATACAAATGATATGGTACGATCACACATAAAAATACAACCCTGATTTGTATTTCCTTATCCGAAATGCATATTTCTATGGTTTATTGAGCCAGAATGTTCAAGGATTTGCGACCTGCGTTCATCACTCCTATAGAGAAACAGAGTGCGGCTTCTTGCGTTTGGCAACCAGTATAACCAAATTCACTTTCCCGTGGTCAGCTGTATAAACGGACGTTCCGTAGCGAGAACGAAAGTACCCCCTGCAGCGCATCAACCGCCTCTGAACTGGTATCCACGGCAACCGCAAAAGGCCAGCAGCAGCCGATCCGACGGCCATCCCGTGAACTGCCTCCCTCCCTTCGCTTGAAAGCACCGCGTGTCGGCAGCGCCCGAGTTCCCGATCTGATCCGACCCGATGCTCCCTAGGGAAGAAGGACGGGACGGCGGAAGCCTTCCCCCCACACTCCCTCTCCTCCGTGCAGCTGACTCGTCGCGGGTCGTTACGCGATTCGTTAGTACCCGTGACGCGCCCGCTGCAGGGAGGCGTCTGGTGAGGCGATCTGAGGCCATGGAAGGGACCGGTCACTGGACAAAACCCATGCAACCATCCTCTCCTCTCCTCTCCCCGCGCCGCGTCGCGCCTCTGTGGAACCTTTTCCGCGAGCTATTTCGGCCGCATCGTCATTTCTGCGTGTCTGGCACTTTCAGCTCCTCAAAATCTCCAGATTCCTCGCTCCCTCCCTCCCTCCCTTATCCGCCGCGTGCGTCGTCCCGCAAGCACGCTCACGAGGTCTCACAGTCCCACTGTCACGCAGTCCGCCCACCGGCTCTTCTCCCATCATAAAGCCCCGCCGCTGGAATTCGGGCGTTGAATCGAGCGGCCCTTTCCGTCCGCTGACCTCGCTCCAAGGAGTCTCAGTACTAAAATCTAAATCTCGTACCACGCGAACTGCGTTATTGGCTCGGCAACCGTGAGACTCCTCCGGCTGCTGGTCGAGGCGACGACAGTGCTAACGCGTAGAGCCACTCACCGCCCTCCCACCTGCCTCCCGCCGCTTCGCACCTCAATCCCGTTGCTCATACAAGTCCGCCTTCCGCGCAGTCGCGCTTCCTTTCGCGCACCTCCGCGTCCTCCGCGTCCTCCGCCTCCGCGCCCCCCTGCCCCGTCCGCGCCACCGCCATGAGCACTCCGCGCCTTGTGCTGGCGACCAGCGAGTCCGTGGAGAACGCGGGCGTGAGCCCCATGAGTCCGTTCGGCCCTGTGTCGCCCATCAGCCCCATCTCGCCGCTCAGCCCGGGCATGGCGAGCCGGCAGCGCCTCAGCAGCCTGCAGGAGCGGCGCGGCGTGCCCGTGTCTAACCCGCTGCCGCGCCTGCTCAAGAAGCCCGCCTGGCAGCTGCTGCGCGGCGTTGACAAGCAGTGAGTGGGGGGGTGAGATGCGGTGATGTGCGATGCCAGGGGGCACGCATGTAGACAATCTTGAGTGTTGCGCGCAGCAAGTTGGTTTGCACGTGGTTTCCAAGTCTTCTTCCCAGCCTGATTCTCACCTTTTGCTTCCGCGCGCGCGCGTGGCATGGCAGGTACCGCAGCCCCACGGACATGATGATGTCGCCTGTTTCACAGCAGCTCTCAGGGGTCACGCACCCCATGGTACGCTGCTGCCACCTCGGCCACCGCCACCCCTGCTCCACCTTCATCCTCCCTGCAGCTCATATCCATGCCCCCCTTGACTTCAACCTCCCTTCATCTCAAGCTTAAAGAGAAGCTACCTTGTTGTGTCCTCTCCCTTTGTGCCCTTGCTTCACGCTGATGCCTCTCCCCTCTCTTGCCCTGCCTCTGAACCTCTGTGAACCCCTCTCAGAGGCAGGTGGGGAGGATGTGCCCACAGCTGGACAACAATGGGCCGCCGGCCCCCATAAGCATCAGCACCACCGCCACCACGTCCCGGGGATGACAGCACGAGCAGTCGATTGTTGGATGGATGGATGAAGTCTATCCTTTAGGCGTCGCGCCACAAAGCCGGATAGATGGATGGATGGATCGGTGCCTCGGGGAGGGCTGGTCAGCTGTTGATGCTGCTGGATGGATGGATGCATACTGTAGTAATTTTTCCCCTGCATGGATCGCTTGCTGGCGCCATTCCTCATGTCCGGGCCAGTCACCTCTGTACTCTGCAGGATCATCATCACTCCTTCAGTGGTGCTCTCATCTAGATTGCTTGCTTGCTTGCTTTCATGCTTTCCTTTCCATTTTTTTTGCTGCACACTCAGCAGCGCAAGTCTCAGCCACCGTACCAGTACGTCCCTTGTGGTTGCTTGCTGCACGCACGCCCTGCTGTGACCAGGAGCTACTGTCTTCCCTAGGGTAGCTGCATGTGTGTCTTCCATGGGAGACTGTTTGTGTGTGGCTAGGACTCTTTGTCGAGAAAACTGAACAAGTGTTTGATAGAGAGAGAGAGAGAGAACAAGGGTATATACCTAAGAGTGTTGTACCCTCTAAGAGGTGACCCTATACAGTCTATACAAATATGATTTATACATATATTTGACACACCCCCTAGACTGCATAAGGGCAAATCCTTAACAAGCAGCTCAGGGCGGCACTACTAGTCCAGCCACTGAGACAAGGGTCTAAAGACCAGTCAAAAGGAGTACAGGCAAGACAAGAACAAGACCAGGGCGGCACTACTAGTCCAGCCACTAGGAGAGGACACAAGTCCAGTCTGAGTATACATATAAAGGACAGTACAAAGTCAAGGTCCTAGCAAGTGAGAGGCTACAGGAACTAGACCAAGCTGTACACAGTGCCGCTGATGATCTTTAGGCGCAAGCGCCTTCGTAAAGATATCAGCCGTGTTGGCACCTGAGGCCAAGTGTACTACGCGAGCCTGACGTCGCTGCTGTAGCTCACGCAGGAGGAAGTACCGCAGCTGAATGTGCTTTGCTCTGCCCTCGAGTTGAGGCTCTTGACACAGGAGGATCATGGCCCTGTTGTCAGCGAACAGGACCGGGGCAGAGCTAGGCCGCTCACCTAAGTCAGTGAGCAAGAAGGTCAGCCAGCGGAGCTCCTGTGCCGCCATGGCACCGGCGTAGATCTCAGCCTCACAGCTGGACTGTGCAACAGACGAGGAGCGAGTAGCTCTCCACGAGACGGCACCTGAGCCAAGGCTGAAGCAGTAGCCCTGGGTAGACCGGAGTGTCTCAGCGTCGTCTGCCCACGAAGCGTCTGTGTGCCCAGTAAGGACCGCTGGCCTGCGTCCTCCTAGCACTAACCCCATGCCCGATGTACTAGCAAGATAACGCAGAACCCTCTTAGCGGCAGACCAGTGCTGCGGTCGGTGTCTGCCTGTGGCCACAAAGCGAGCCAGGATGCTGAGAGGGTATGCGAGATCTGGGCGAGTGCAAGTCATCAGGTACATGAGGCAACCCACCAGCTCTGCGTAGGGGCCGCTGGGCTCTACCAACTCCTCAGGCACTGGAGCGGAGAGCCTGTGGTCTACAGGCAGAGGGGTGGGCTGTGCAGAGGAGAACTGAAGGCTGAACCTCTGAAGGACCTGGCGCACCAAGTGTGACTGAGTCAGGGTGATGGTGCGCGCAGCTCTGTCCCTGGAGATCTGCAAGCCAAGGTAACGGCGCAGTTCTCCAAGGTCAGTGCAGGTGTGTCTCTTCAGCAGCTCTGCCTTCACGGAGGCCAGCGCGTCCCTGTCTGCTGTGGCAAAGACCAGGTCGTCGACGTAAACGAGGATGTAGAACGGAGTCTGGCCAGCACGAACGAAGAGTGAAGGGTCTGCAGAAGACGGAAAGAACTGCAGGTCAGCAAGCGTAGCACGCAGAGTGTCGTGCCACTCACGGGGAGCCTGGCGCAGGCCGTAGACGGGGCGCCGCAGGAGCCACTGGGTCCCAGGAGGGAAGGTGCCAGTAAAGCCCGGAGGGCGGCGCAGGTAGACCTACTCGTGTAGGCTGCCCTGAAGGAAGGCAGTGGAGAAGTCGAGGGAGTGAAGCTCGTAGTCACGCTGAGCAGCTAGGTGTAACAGAACCCGAAGAGTAGTCATCTTCGGGGTCGGAGCGAAAGTCTGGAAGAAGTCCACCCCCTCGCGCTGACTGAAGCCTCTAGCCACATAGCGCGCCTTGAAGACAGGCGGCTCTCCAGGAGGGCGCTTCACCTTGAAGAGCCAGCGGCCATCGACTACGTTCACCCCAGGTGGGGGAACTGCGTCGACGAAGGTGCCGGTGGATCTCCAAGATGCCATCTCCTGCTCCATGGCAGCTATCCACTGCGAGGTCCAGGGTCCCGAAGTCGCCTCAGCGTAAGTGCGAGGGGTCGGGATGTCGAAAGCGTCTGGGTCACCCTCAGGGACTAGCAGCATGGAACAGAGATGGGGAGCAGCCTCGGAGAGGAAAGCAAGCTCGAACTGGCGGTCCTCCAAGACGTCACTGCCAAGGGCAGGAGCACCCCCGACAGACGGAGGACAGGCAGGGTCAGAGACCAGAGCGGAGGCGTAGTCAAGGCGGCGGGTAGAGGCGAAGTCAGCGACAGCAGCGACAAGAGCGTCAAGGCACGAGACTGGAACAGACGGGTCGGTAACGAGAGAGGCAAGGACCCGAGGAACGAGAGGACGAGCGGCACGAAGGTAGTCGGACAGCGGGGGGGGCGCAACAACAAGGGAGGACGGAGGAGGTGACGGCAGAAGGGGAGGACGAGACGCGTGTGAACGAAGCAACATAGGGTGGGAGCGCAGGACAGGCGAGGCAGGACGAGCACGGGAGGGACGGTGAGACCAGACGTGCGATGGAGGAGTCGGGTCAGGAGACAGGGGAGGGGACACAGGAGGGGAACGAGGGGGGAGACGGGCCGGGGACGAGTCCGGCGGAGGGAAAACAGGGCCGTAGACAGGAAGAGGAGGAGACGGTCGGGGAGGAACCGACGCAGGGTCGGGGGACGGAAGGCCGAGCAGGCGAAGGGCGGACACCGGCGGGGACTGCTGCTGCGGCGGCACAACGGCGACACCTGGACCGCAAGCTGCTCCTCGGCTACCAACGGCACTCTCCACAGCCGCACCCCCAAGAGGGACCACCCTCAGGGCGACCGGGACGAGCACCCCCAGAGTCAGCGAACGGGGGCTGCGACGGCGGCGGCGGCGACGACGGCGACGGCTGCAGTGGCGGCAGGGACGGCGGAGGAGGGGACTGGGGAGGGGACACCTGGGGAGGGGCGGCCAGTGAGGACTGCACTGGACGGCCACCAGAGTCAGAAGACTCCTCAACCGGGTCCACGGACGGAAGGGGGGTGACATGGGAGACACCAGAGGGGGCGGGACGGGGAGGAGGAGGAGGAGGGGCAGGGACTACCGGGGAAGGAGTGACCAGGAACAGGGGGGGGGTAACCGGGGGACCGTGGTGGGGGAAGCGACGGTAGTAGGAGACTGACTCGTCAAAGGTGACGTCGCGAGAGTGAAAGAAGCGGTGAGACGGCGGGTGGTAGAAGTGCCAGTCGGACGCGTCAAGGGGAAAGCCGAGGAAGACGCAGGGAAGGGTGCGGGCAGTGAGCTTGTCCGTGCCGGAGGCACGGACGTGAGCAAGGCAGCCCCAGACGTGGAACGCAGACGCGTCACCAGGAGACCCAGTCCACAGACGGGTCGGCGAAACCTGCGGCTGCTGAGGGTGCGGCCACAGGTTAAGCTGGTGAGAAGCGTAGCGCACAGCGAACGGCCACAGAAAATGGGGTGCACCGGCATGGACCATGGAGGTGCGAGCGACCTCCATGACCAAGCCGATGCGTCGCTCAGCGACCCCATTCTGCTGTGGGGAGTCCGGTAGGGTGAACGTCTGGGTGATGCCCTCTGCACGACAAAAGCGACCAAGGACACCTGAGGCAAACTCGCCACCACGGTCTGAGTGAAGACGCAAGACAGGGAGACCGCGGTGGACACGCGCAGAGACAAGCCAGGGGATGAGGGCGCCAGGCACGTCGGCCTTGCGCTCCAGGGGAAAGACTGTGGTGTAACGAGTGAAGTCGTCGACAAGCACAAGGAAGTAGCGCTCGCGACGCGGCCCAGGGACGGGGGCGGGGCCCCAGACGTCCAGGTGCAGGGTCTGCAGCGGCGCGGCGGTAGGGGGGAACGAGGAGGAGTGAGGGGCACGGCGAAGCCGACCCTCGACACAAGGCGTGCAAGGTGGAGCTGGGGAGGAGGGAAACGCGGGGAGGGAACCTGGGAGACCAAGGACAAGACCGTGCTGGGACATGTGACGCAGACGCGGGAGCGCAGGGTGACCTAGGCGGTGGTGCCACAGGAGGGTCGGGTGAGTGAGGGAGCGACAGGAGCAGGCAGCAGCAACCTGGGTAGACACAGCCACCTGAGGGGGCGCTCCAGCCGGGGGGGGCACGGTGTCCAGAGTGAACAGGCCGGACACCGGGTCCCGGGGGAACGTGGACAGGGGGGCACCAGTGGCGGCCTCGGTACAGACAGCATACCGCTCGTGACCAGGGAACGTAGTGGTGACGCCAAGGTCCTGGAGGCAGCCGACACCAACTAGGTTCCTGGAGAACGAGGGGATATGCAGACCTGTAAGAGAGCCCGAAGGAACCGCCGGACAGGGAAGGGTGGTGGAACTGCGGGCGACTACCGGGCCGCCGGAGGGGTCAGCAAGAGAAACGGCAGCAGGAACAGGAAGCGGCGTCAGGGTGGTGGAGTCGCGGAAGAAACACCGAGAGGCGCCAGAGTCCAAGGTGAAGGAAAGCGAAGCCGAGGGGTCTGGCGACGGAACGACGGCAGAAGCACCAAGACTACACAAAGCAGGGGATCCTACGCCTGACGCAGCAGGGGAGGCTAAGCTAGGCACACCTACACTAGGCAACAGTGAGTAATAAGTCGGAAGCACACTAGAGTCATCAGCATACATCACATGCAGAGCAGAAACAATGGCATCCATGTCCATATCAAAGATCTGAATCTGACGACTAAGCAAACTGTGCCAGTCCGGGAGGTCTGGCGACGGGCCGAAACGCTGACGAAAGAGGTCGTCCAGGCGACGAAAGCAGCGGGGAGTGGAGTGACCGATCTTACCGCAAACGAAACCGCGGCGAGGACCGGTCTGGATCTGGTACTGACAACGCCCGCCGGCAGAGCCACCACGCAGCACACCACCACGCGCCCGTCCACCGCCAGCGCCGGGCCACCCTGGCGGGAGAACACTCGTCTGCCGCGTCTGCGACGGCTGCTGCGGCTGCTGCGAAGGCTGCGACTGCGGCGGCTGCTGCGGCTGCTGCAACTGCACGGGCGGCGACTCAGCTGGACTGGGCAGGGTCCCCTCGTCCGCTCCAGCACCAGGCGACCCGACCCCACCACTACCCCCGCCCGCACCCCCGCCGCCCCCTCCGCCGCGCCCAGCCTTGGGGCGGCGGCCCTTCCCAGAACGGGCCTGCGCTGCAGCAGCAGTCTCAGCCACTGCGGCAGAGCCGTCGGAGAAGGTACACTGGGCGGGGGCACAACCCTGAAAGATAGGGACCGGCACGACACCGCTCGCCTGGGT